TTAACTGATGTTGATACGGCTCGCTTGGTATATTTTAGTTATTTTCACAGTATAATGTCTTATGGCATTCTGCTTTGGGGTAACGCGGCCGACATTAATACAATCTTTATCTAACAAAAGAGAGCTATTCGTGCAGTTTACAATCTGGGCCCCAAAGAATCGTTAAGAAACTTTTTTAGAGAGATAAAGGTATTGACTGTTGCTGCTCAATACATTTTTGAAAATGTTTTGTATGTCCATAAAAATAAGGATAAATTTTTAAGACATAATAATGTTCCTTCCTAATAATGTTCCTTTGATCCTACCCACAAGTAGACTCCGTAAAATAAGTAAATCTTTTATGGGACAATGTATACGTTATTACAACAAAATTCCAGAAAACGTTCAAAATTCATCAATAGCTAAATTTAAAAAAAAGTAGTAAAAGAACGTTTGTGTGTTAAAGGCTACTATAATATTAATGATTATTTAAATGATAACACACTCTGGTAATGAACTGATCGCTCCAGGCTCTTTCAATCGGAGTTCTTATATTGTATTATTAATGAATTTATGTCAAACTGCTTATTTAAAAAAAAAAGCCCGCTGAGTTTCTTTCGCCGGTTCTTCTCAGTACAGTGGCTTTCTTTTCCGAACCGGTGGTAGTGTTTTGACTATCAATAAGTGAGTGTAATGCTCCTATGTTGAATAAATACATTTGATTTTGATTTTGATTTTATTTTTCGTTAATAAAAAAATGTACCAAGGTTGGTGAAAAGGTCATTAATGTTGACGAATTTTAGCTTACGCGATATATACTTTTTTTTCCTTTTTTTTTTATACATTGCCCTTTACGTGGGTCACACAAATAGTTGTCCCGTGTGGGAATCGAACCTGCGACACCCGACGCCGAAGCCGATACCTTGGCGACTGCGCCACGGAGTCATGATCTCTGTAAATTAGTTTTAGTTATGCAGATTTATTGTGTTTAAATGCATCGATTAAAATAGTTTTTTGTCGGAAATCGTGTGAGTGGCGGATTGCGAATAGTATATAAAGTTTTAAATGTTGCATTTAAATAGTTATCAATATTTGTAATAAACCTATTTTAAGCTCATAAGTAATGTTGTTATTATTATTAGCAAATCAAACTTCCAATAAAAGGGTTTCGGCTATGCAAGCATTCGCCTATTTTGATGAACTAGACACATATACTATTGGTATCGAATTTAGTTTCAATTTCCCTTTCTGTCGCTTGGCAACCATGGTCAACACAGCAATCATATTCGTGAGACAGTTGTTTGACGTTTTTATACTACAGTTAACTCGCGCTGCTGTCAGGTTTTTTAATTTGTCTATACGTCTACAGTAAGTCGAAGACTTGAAATGCTGCCATAGGATTAAGTTTATTATTTAGAAGCTCCCAAGCCTTGTACTCATTTACTTTTCTATCCATAAAAAGTACATACATAGTTAAAAGTACCTAAGTTACTCTTTTAAATTGCTTCAGAATACGACGAGCCTGGCTACAGCTTGCTATGGCCGACTGAGTATCATTTCAGAGCCGAAAAAGTCTACTTGCATACCGAAGTAATTGAAACCTACGAAGTGTGGTAAGATTTACATTTAAATTTTCTGAAAGTGACTTATTACCCCATTGTTATTATGTACCGTGTTTATTACAATTACTGTGTGTCTGTGGCAGTTAATGTTTTCAGAACTGAAACAATAGACAAAGCGATACTCTTTAACAGTTTTTCGTGAAATCTCAAGTTCGAGACTAAAAGTAATTAAAGCAATGAGCAAAGTGATGTCCAACTCACATTGTTAGTTTTTTAACTAAAACGGGACCCTATTACTAAGACTCCGCTGTATGTCAGACGGATGTATCTCATGAACCGTGATAGACATGATGATGTATTTCCGATGCCGGAACAAATACTAAAAAACTGAATAAAGAAATATTTAAGTGTGGCTCCCACACGCATGATTTTTTGCTATTTTTATAGATAATGGCACGGAACCCTTCGAGTGCGAGTGTGACTCGCACTTGGCTAGTTTTTTATGACTTTTTTTATATTTTACTCTTTATACAGCGTGTCGTTACCATCGCGACAATAAATGAACACACATATAGGGGATAACATTTTAAAGTTGTATTAAACATTTAAATTCTTTAAACATCAATATTTACAGAGTTATAAAATTTTCCAAAACGAAGAATTTTAGAACATCCTTACCTATAAAAGCGTAACGTAAAGTTCATTTGTAAAGGTCACAAAACGTATGAATGGGTTGAATGAATTTAAAAGAGACAAAACATACTGTTAGAAGGAGAGGCTTGTAATACGACGCTGTGGCGCCAGTTGAATAGGATGTTACAATTTTTTTTTCTTTTTTACTTAATGAGTTTGTTTGAAATTTTTTTTTTTTTAATTATGGACTTTGTTTAACGTTAATATTTTTTATGATTATTGGCAAGTAGCGTTAGACGTGTCTTCATTTATTGTCGAGATGGTAACGACACGCTGTATAACATTGAAAGAACGTTATGTGCAATGCGTATAAATACAATATGCAAAGATGGATATGCGGTAAAGTCGTTCGCACATCTGTGAGCGACATTGAACATATCATAAATTTTACGGAGAGGAGATTTGTCATGTTTTCAGTTAGACCCTTGCATCGTGGTGTGTGTCCTTTGCTTTATTACACTCAAGCAAGCCGTTCCTAAATCAATTAACTGCCAGGCTCGATCACTACATAGTATAAAACAAAGTCGCCCCGCTGTCTGTCTACCCCTATGTACGCTTAGATCTTTAAAACTACCGTGGCGTAGTCGGTATGGTATCTTGATGCGGGTTTTTTTACTAGACAGACTGATTAATGAGGAAGGTTTATATGTATAATACATTGCACCCGTGCGACGCCGGGGTGGCTCGCTAGTTTACTACTAAGACAAAGACTTTAAGAAATTAAGAAAGAAAGAAAGAAAAGTTTAAGTGGTCAGGACTGCAAATCTCAATGCAACGCTTACAAAACACGGCTTCACAGAAAACGTACGTTCTGCTGATGGATCTGTTCTTCTGCGTTTAGTCTGATGAGTGAGATGGCTGCGACCCACTCGAAAAAGGTTGACATACCTACGAAATGCACCCCAATGGTACAGTAGACAGATCGATGATTCCGTGGCGCTGCTGCCAAGGTATTTGCTTCGGTGCCAGAGTCAAACGGTGTGTAAAACGCCCTTACAACACCGGATAGTGTTATCGTAAAGTAAGGGCAATGTTTTTAACAAAAATAACTGTAGATTATCTCCAGTAGGAATTATTACTGAACAGGAGAAATGCCAGTGATATATATATATATATATAGATACGAGGATATGACACGTGCGCGCCGAAACTGAGGCATTCAAACTACGACAGGTGGTGTAATTCCTCCTCTGTTTGGTCCGATTCTTTCAATGGCTAGCGTACGTCATATGCAATTCTAGAGACTGCTATCTCTTTCCTTACCATAAGTTCTATATTCAAATTTAAATTCAAATATCTTTATTCCACATTAGCATTACACAATACTTATGTATTGTCAAAAATTCGGAATCAAAGCCGAAATAAAAGAAACTCAGAGGGGCAATTTTTTTTAACATAACTTGGCATACATCTATTTTTAATATTTATATACAGGGTGTTACAAAACTACATGTAAAGCCGAAAGGAGATTAAATGGGGCCTAATAACTAGCCCATTCACTATATTTAAGAACCGTAGTAACGCTGTATAACATACCCCAAAATATATTTTTATTTTCACTGATGTGCAAACCCTACTTCAGTAAAATTAAAGAGTAACTACGCAGAATATACAAAAATATATAAATTTCTACCTAATTCGCGGAACGACAAGCCGGTGGAATGAAGTCGTCTTTGACAATTTCAGAAAACGCTGGTACGAAGGCAGTCGTCGCTGTTCAGTAGAGGGTCTACCATCGATAAATCGTTGCCGATACAGTTCGGGAGCACGATTTAAAATGCTATCTTCATGGCCGACGCATAAAATCGTGTCGTAATAATTCGAGTTAGAAATTCTAAAAAATTAATCGTTATTTTGCAAAAAAATTTGAAAAAAAAAAACTCGAAACAGTTGTAACATATCGATAAGAACATTTGAAATTGACAACATATTTTTTTGCCAACTTGACATTTTTTCAAGCCAGTACTTGTATAGTGATATCCTTGTGTTGAGGTAGCAAACATTTATGAATGAAAAATAGAAAAACTATAAAAGTAGACAATTATGGGTAAAATAGGTAGGCATTTCTGTTAAATAATCTGGTTCCCTGACATGACAGCTTACTAGGGTTGACAAAATTTTTGGGTTATCAAACCCAATTTTTATATTTTTTACGCGGTATTTTGTAACACGTTGTACATACTGATGTGTATATTGACGTTATCCTGTACACGCGACGTAGATCTGACAAAAACTTATAAATAAAAAAATAAAAAATAATTTGTAGTGGACCGAATTGTAAACCATTCTCGAATCGACCTGAACACAATGAAAAAATCTCATACACACGTTAGTATTAAGAATTATATAATTATACTAGCTGGCCCACGCAACTTCGTTTGTTCCAATTCTACCGGGTTCTTACGTTTCTAATTTTAGCATAGCGCCATCTATCGGATACTTACTCAATCCAGCCGATAAATTTATCTTACACCGTCATCGGTTAGAATCTTATGGGACTCTATGGCTCATAGATAGCTCTTTTACATCTAATAAACAAATAATTTGCAATAACAAATATTGAGACCAATAATTGAGATAAAAACTAATGTTGGACCAAATTACAAATGCTTACAAAATTTGATTAAAATTTAATTTAAAAAGGTTCAGTAGTTTCGGAGTTTATCGCGAACATACATCGTGACACGAAATTTTTATATGTATATATAAAGATGATATATGTCATGTAATAATGTAAAGCGGAACAATTTTTAAACGCCGCGCATTATGGACATGCGTCATCTTTATCAAAACATTGAGAAGTGTCTGCCCTTCGGCGCCAGCCACCAAAAATATCCGACGAAGAATTTCGCTTTACTCAACAGGTACAGCGCGGAAGAGAACAGATCCCGCATAGACTTTTACGACGGCACTGTAAGACGGTACTACCAGATTGATCCCGACAACGATACGTTGGCTGTATACCAGGTCATTACATCTGAATCTAGTATTTTGACCCCACATAATCCATCATGTGACTTCGTGACGCTTCGGCGTAGGTGGTCGTGGGCTCGATTCCCGCACGGGCAACTGTTTGTGTGACCCACAAGTAATTGTTTCGGATGTGGGTGTGAGTGCATGTGAATTATTGAGTGAGTTTATGTATGTAAAAACACCTAACAATACAGGCTAACGTTAAAAAAATCATAAAACAATAAAAGTTATTAATCCATTATAATCCATTATATTTGCCATATAAAAAGTTTTTTTTTTTATTTAAAACTTCATCTAAATAACCAATGAAATAATATATATTTAGTAGTGTTTTCTATTTCTATTATAATATTTATTCTATATTATTATACACCTCTAGCTAAGCACAGCATTAGTGTCGATGTTTCTTGTTGATTTTCGATAACACGAACCCACCAAAATCAATCTTTCAAGATAATCTTAGAAAGCAAAAACAGTAAATTGTACTAGGTTTAATGCATGCATGAAACATTGCGAAGTTCTATACAAAATTGTAACAACAACTTTATGTTCATGTAGCACATTTTCACTACTTGCCTTTTTACGTATGTTCATTTAACATTGCAATAATTTATTTTGTTAAGGCCAAAGAATACTTATAAATAATAACAGAATAGTTGACACGAATCACGATCAATATGTTTGACACATATCAAGATGCAATTCTTTTTTTTTTTTTTTTTCAATTTGTAGCGATCCTTATATAAAAACTCATGAAACCATTCTTATATCATTCAAATTTCACTATTTTTCTACGAAATTGCAACATTATATTCAATAAAGACATTTTAGATATCGGAGGTTTATCAAAAGAATATGAATAAAGATTTTTATCGAATGTTTGATACGCTTAAAAGACGTTTAAAATAATATAGATTTATACCTTCGATAAGACAGTAATACTTTGCAATATATTACAAATTACAACTCCTTATACTCATATGACAAAAAATATCATATTACCCCCAGATCAGCCCTATAACGACCGACGCGGTGACGAATGAAATTATTTGTCGCAGCATTGGCGACGATGACGAAAGCTCCATCGATAACTTGCCAAGCGTCGACGATTTGGTCTATCAAGGTATAAACGACATCGAATGGGTCAAATAGAACTTCGATGTGGCTTTTTTTATGTTGGAAAGTGAGAAACGACCTTCACCTGATGTTAAATGATAACCGCCGCCCATGGCAACACCCGTACGGTTGCAGATGCGTTGCCACCCTATAATAGAGTGGGCTAGGGCTACCTCACTCATCAGATGAAACAAGTGTTAATACTTCTACTTCACGCCGGTTTTCTGTTACTGTTACTAACCCGGACAGACCTGCCCATTCGTGCAACAGCGAACACTGTTGCGTGGTCCTACCAAAGTTAATTTTACTATCTTTTATTTTACATTGGAGGGGAAATCTTCAAAAGTTACCCTGTCACCTGGGAGAAGACCGGGTCTTTGGTTCTTACCCACTAAAACCCCCTAGGTTGACCACCTCCAATACGGTGAATGGGTGGAGCCCCATACAGAACGCACCGGTGAACCTTCGTACTAGCCAGAGCCGGATTTAGGGACAACGGGGCTACATCCTCGGAGCCTCCACTAGAAAATAACTTTCACTTTCATATTTATACTTGGTTTCACAACAAATTATTAATTGAAAAACTCGACTGTAAAAAAAATTGTTCATTTTATTCGAAAAATAATGTGGGGCCGACGAGCCTCCACTGCTTCGTTGCACCGAGGCCTCCAGAACTCTAAATCCGGCCCTCGCAATAGCCATAAGATTCGAGTAAAGTAAGAACTGCCCAAAACGTACTCCGCTTTGACTGCACGAGACCACTTCATCGTGAACCTTAGTCCCGTTTTACGACAACCCATGTGCCCGGGATTATAGGGTTAGGAATGCTGGGTGGCTGGTAGAGCTCATATGTTCATTAACTGGATCACCCTACTAAAAACGTTTCAGCTCTTTTTAACCGACTTCAAAAGAGGAAGGTTTCGACTGTATTTTTTTTTGATTTTACCACAGAACTTTCTACTGAGCGAACAGATTTTGATCATTCTTTTTTATTCGAAAGCTGGTGCCTCCCATGTGGTTCCATATTTATTTCATTGGTATTGGATCTTTGGCTCCGGAGATACTTGGGGAACTCCTGAAAATCAATTATAGAATGAATACAGAGCGCGATACTTGAAGGCGGTTTTGTTTTCGTTTAAAAAAATGGCCTAGCAACATGACAAGTCTCGCCATCGTCAATAATAGCAAAACTAAAATCAAGTAAACTGAGTATAAGAATAATATATAGGTATGTAGGCGTCATTAATGGAATAAGTATTAATTGTACTACAACTGATACCACTTCCATTTATGACGAACCGATTGCCGTAGTGGATAGTGAAAGTTACACTATATTTCTTGCGCCAGAGGGGTTCGATACTCTCTGCTAGAAATACGTACTTTGATGAACATAGTGTTTTTATAGTTTATAGCTTATCATAACTTTTTATACATAAGTTTAAGTATGGTTAACAGTTACCTCAAATCATAACAAATCAAATGAAAAAAAAAATTATTCAAATAGACGCTTGCGCGATCTTAAGTGTCGTCAAAGTTTACATTAAAAATTATATATCTAGTCTCATTAAAAATTATACATGTAGTCTAGCCTTGTCAATATGTCTCTGCTCTACCTAGGGTTAGCTGGTAGAGAATGCCATATAGTATTAAGCTCGATTTTGTACATTTTTAGTGCAATAAAAATTAAATAAAATAAATAAATACATATAGGTTTTTAAGGTACCACCGGTTCGGAAAGCAATTTCTTTTGAGACCTGGTCCCAAAGTACAAAGTAATCGGTGTAAAATGTGTCTCAAAAACATGTTATTATTATTTCATTTATTAAAACATAATAAATAGTACTAATATAATAAAGTATAATAAACAGAGCCGTGATAGCTCAGTGTCCGGGCGCTCGCCTTTAATTCAATATACTCGACCAACCTGAGTTCGATCCCCGGCACCAATGAAGTTTTTAACTTTAAGTGCTGTCGTATCACGTGCTCCGCGGTGAAGGAAAACATCGTGAGGAAACCTGCATATTTTCGAAATAATAACAAAAAAATATTTCGAAGATATGTGAAGTCCGTCAATCCGCAGTGGGGCCGCGTGGTGGACTATGCCCTGATACCCTTTATATAGAGGAGGCCTTTGCCCAGCAGTGGGACATGTATAGGCTGTTACTTTACTTTACTTTTAATCGTAAGAATTATATAGTATATTAATCATATAATATTATAGTTAATAAAGTGAACTATATTTAAAATAATATAGTTCACTTTATTAACTATAATAAAAAAATTAACAGTTGGCAGTTACAAACAAAGACCACTAGATGGCACAATAAATAATTTTTTACAAAATTTTAAACTTTTCGGACGCATCATTTAATTTACCATTGTTTATTCATGAACAGGTAATGAAACTTTAGATGGTAAGGTGGTACAAGTGTGGAAGTCTATAGAGGAAGAAGACGATAGAAACGAAAGGACCCTTTACGTGTATAGAGATAATAGGGGTTTCGACGTACCGGTTAGGTGAGGTGTACCTTTTTTTTAACTATTTTTAAATTGAAATTCTTTTCAACGGTTTCTCTTTTTGTGATGTAATGCAGATGAAAATTTTCCGTTCAACTATTTGCTGATTTGACTCGCTATTTACTTTAAAAACGTAAAAATGAATATAAAATAGGCAGCAGTCCTCCTATTTACAGTATTCTTGAAGTTCCAAATCAGGCATAATAAAAAAACAGCTATTGGTTAAGAATCTTTCAAGTTCTTATAATTAATTCGCTTTCCATCAAAGGCTGCATCGCCACTTACCATCGGGTGGGACGGCAGTCAAGTGCTGGCCTGTTCTAAATAAAAAAAATTGTCATAGGCGTTCACTCATTAAGCCCGGGGAAGAACCAACAAAAATGAGATAAATCATAATAAATAATAATCAGTAGAAAATTTGCATAAACTATAACAAGGTATAGAAATTATGTGTTGACGTTAGTAAAAATATATTCTTTTGCAGTTAGTTTTAATCACTAGGAAATAATGAATCAAACTTTAGCGATTTTCTTCTGCTAAGGCACACGTCTTCAAATTCAATCTCAAATCTTTATTCAATAGAGAAGCATTACAGTTCCTTATTGATTGTAAAAACGCTACCACCAGTTCGGAAAAGAAAAGCCACTGATCTGCGAAGAACAGGCGAAAGAAACTAAGAGGGACATTTATTTAACCATTATTTGACAAGAAACATGTTTACAATGTACTTAAGTCCAATTGAAAGAGCCTGGAGCAATTAATACATTTCCAGGGTGTGTTATTATTTAAATGATCACTAAAATTATAACGCTTAACCTTGAACATACAACCATTCCTTTACACGTATACACGTACGTACATAACTAACATATAAGTACAAACCGACCCCTTGTAAGGTCGTAGAATAACTACAAGAAGTATTGTAGGTAAATCAACTGCAAGGTTACCCGTAAGCTCTACTCATGAAATGTTTTTAAAGCAAGGTACCACTACTCCCATCTGAACCGGGTATAGTACCACTTACTGTGGTAGGCCCACGTAGCAGCCTCGGCTGTTGCACAACTGGGCAGGCTCGTTCGGGTAAGTACCAGGAACTTACAGAAGACTGGCGTGAAGTGGAAGTATAATATTCTTGATTGGTGAGGCAGCCGGAGCCCAATTTTCAAAAAGGTTGACAACGCATCTGCAAACACTTGGGTAAAGCAGATGTCCATGGGCGGTGGTATTCACTTAACATCAGGTGAACCGACTGCTCGTTTAGCAACTATACACATAATTGGTAGAGCTGTAAAAGCTAAACGGCTGTACCAAATTTGGCCCAGAAACGCAGAGAGTGGTACACACATTGCCGGTAACTTTAAAATATTTTGACAAGATTAATCCAATGGAAATTGATAGAATGAAGACCAATAATAAAAAGCCTTTGTGACAGGGACAATTGGAAATCCATAACCGCGACGTGCCATAAGAATATTTATAATAATTTATGAAAATTTCTACCCAAAAACTGGCCAGTATTTACAATTATCTCACCTGTTAATAAGTTGAGCCTTACGTTATTTCAGGTATGAGGATATTCAATACAACACGTGGAGTAAGGGCATGGATAAACATACTATCACAAACTTCTATGATTTTAAGACCATCGTAAGTCCAGAGGACCTGGACGTCGGAGAGGGTATGCATTTCTCAAATCCAATACTGGCTCGAAAAGTACTTTTTCTAGAAAATGTCCATTTTCTAGTTTATTTTGTTAATCTGCATAATTTTTTGCTTAGACTGATGTTGAACGTATCAATAAACATGAGCGATATATAATATACACTGTATTACATTTAAATATTCCGTCTACGAGGTACAAATTAATTTTATGTCCCTCTTACAAAAACGAAGCATGCATAGAGCTCAGTCCTATATAGGTCATCAACTCGTATAATGATAAGTTTGGAAAAATTTACATATCTCATCTTGAACGAAAGCAGTTCCTTAAAAATTTTTTTTAAGCACTCCTGAATACGCCTTATTTAGATACATGCGCTCACAGAGACAGAGACAGAGACACGTATTAAATGTTGGATACCATTTAAGTAGACGTATTTTTTGGTAGTATATGCATCTAAGTAGATGCAGGGTGGGGCGCCACACTATTGGCCGTTTTATTCTATCTGTTCTAATTTTGAATTCTATCTGGCCTAACGTAGGTATGCTGGCAGCAGCTCGAGATGCATTGTCAAGGCCCAGTCCTTATAGCTTGTTTTTAGGCTCAGCCTATTCTAACGGTGAAATGGCGTGATCTGGCGATGGCGATGACGATATATTAAATATTAACCAAATTTTTTCCAGTTGAAGAATGTCAAGACTTGGGGAAATTGGGCGAAAACCTAAAGATCGATCTGGATTTCCTGCATCCCGTGTTTTCACGAGATGTTCATCGAGCTTTTCAAAGGTACTCCCTGCAGATAATTTTTTAGATTATCCTTCATATCTAGTATTGTAATTCTCATAATGTCCAGAGAAGTTGTGAGATTTTCATTGTCGAGATATTATAAACTAATTTGTTAATTTATGACGATAATTAAGCTTACGATGGTTATTGTAAAAATATTATAATATTTGTCCCCTTTAAGCAACATAGGTAAACTATAATCACGTTAACAAGTGTATCTTTCATAGCGTACAAATCTGAGGCCTAGTCCTAGTAACGAGTGACGAGTGTTGTGGTTAATAAATGTTAAGGTTTCTTTTTCAGCTATAAAAAGCATTTTAATAAAAAACATCGAGAAGATGAACATTGGATGAGGAGAGCAATCTTCGAAGAAAACTGGAAGTAAGATGTTTGGGCTTAGCATGCTATTTACAGTTACATCGAATGAATGGATGAATGAAATATACTTCATTTATACTACAATTGATATTGTATAATCAACAGCAAATAACACAAATCTGTACAAAAGCCCCATCGCTAAAACGCGATTTCGTCCAGGCAACCTAGAAAAAGGAGATAATAAAAACAGTATTATCGCAAAAAAATTAAATACAAATATATATTAATAAATATGCACTACAAGGTCTCCATATACATTACAAATATATATGGAGTTAGTAGTGTATATGCCTACGCTACACCATGTACAATGACTTTGATCTGAAATTTATAGCGAAGATTCATGACAATCCCGTGAAATACTACGCAACTCGCAGGCTGTGGTGTATAAACAGATCATTTGATGTTTTCAATCATGTTTTTTATGACTCATATCAATAATCATTGTATTGCATGCGTATTAAAATGTAATCTTATATTTGATAATACTAAAAAAACATGTACCGTTCATTTAATTTTCGCAATTAGCATCCTTTCTTATACTGATGTTACTATGTTTGCTTTCACTTTACCCGGTATATTTCTTAACGTACTGCGCTTATATTCAGTACAATAATTAAGTCGGTTATAACAAATTACTATCGAAAACCATTACTTACCGGTTGCCTCACGGTAACACAAAGTAAAATATAAATACTAACAAAGTAAAATATAAATACTAAATAGGTATTACGGTGTGGTATAAAGAATCTATAATAAGTGTATATCCATATAGTATATATGTATCGATGTATGTATTTTCTCTATGTACTCCGAAATGGCAGGACCGATAATGTGCTACCCTGATGAATAAGGACTGGTTCACTAGTGATACGTAAAATGGGAACATAATACATAGGTCACACTAAAAGCTTCCGGAACTGGCCACTTACATAAAAATATTTAAAAACTAATTACCTTTAACATTTGAAAATGGAACTCTTTGGCTGTAGAATGCAGTTTGTTTCATTTAACTGTCAATTGTTTTTACAATGTGGTGCCATTTTAAATATTCCGTGTCTACATCAACATGGATTTAACTCAGGAAAATTATAAGGTCAAAACGGAGGGGTGGCACAAATGTTATCAAAATCGGTTTAATCGTATGAAAAAGTGCATTTACGCATTGGGAGAATATTTTGAGAAACAAATTCATTTTTGACCTTTAGTATGTTTTACTTATTCATTCCGGAATACTTTTAGTCGTGGGTTCGATTCCTACACGGGTCAAGTTATGTCTGACCCACAGAAAAAGTCTATGAGACTCCAAGAGGGTTGATGTCAAGCCAGGCCAGATCAGGTCAAGCCAAAACCAGCTACAACATGATTCACATTTTGTACCGACGCCATGTAGGTGGGATAAGGGCAGGAGGAGGATGATGATGATGATGATGATGATGATGATGATAAACTATTATACTCGTAACTTTCAGACTGGTAGTCGCCCACAACAGGAAGAACCTGAGCTACAAGCTTGAAGTTAACAAGTTCGCTGACCGGCTGGACGAGGAGTTGGGCCACTTAACAGCCACGAGGCCTTCCCCACCAGGAGCCGTTGGCACCCACCCATACCCTTATTCAGAAGAGGATCTACTGGCAATGGTGGATCAGCTACCAATATGTTACGACATGACATTTGACGGGGTCCTATCTCGCGTTAAGAGTGAGTATTTGATAAATGACTGATTTAAGGCTGTCACGTATGTTACTCTTAGGAATATGGGGATGCTCTGCTAATGCTCTTTTTCGTACTATTTTTGTTCATTTGTCTACAGAGAGTTACAATTTAAACACATAAATCGCGACTCTTTTTATCTTGCACCTTTGTATATTTCTTCTGGCGAGTATGGTTAACTATTCCCAATAAGACGTTATAGAGGTTTTGAACCAACTTTGAACACGTGTCATTAAATGAGATGCGATTCTATGTCGAGCCACTAGTAGTCTAATTATCATCTCCTAGAGAATTAAACTGATTAGTATACCAGACCAAGGTTCATGCGGGTCGTGCTGGGCGTTTGCTACCGTGGCAGCAGTTGAAGGTGCGCTGGCGAGGAGCAATGGTGGAAGGGTGTTCGATCTCAGCGAGCAGTCCTTAGTGGACTGCGCTTGGGGGTGAGTCTGGTGTACTTACCACAGGCGAAGAATGAGACAAACTTATTTCCGTTAAACGTTTCAAGAGCCGTGACTCAAAGGGGAGATTTACAAGACGGTCGTCAGTCCTGTCATGATGTATGGGTCTGTATGTTGGAATATGAAAGAAAAATTCATGTGGCAGAGATGCGAATGTTGAGATCGAAGAGTAGTATGACCAGAAAGGAAAAGATACGAAATGGGTATATAAGGGAAAGCTTGAAAGTGGCACCAGTGACTGAGAAAATAAGGGGTGGGAGAGGTTGACATGGTATGGGCACATTATGAGAAGGGATGAAAGTAATGTGACTAGAAGAGTGATGAAAATTACTGTGTGGTCTGAGGGTACAAAGTTAGAGGAAGACTGAGAAAGATTTGGATAGACTGTGTGAAGATTGAGAATGATATGTCTGTGAAAGGCCCCGGCTACCTCACTCACCAGAAGAAACGCAGAAGTATAACTCTTCGATTTCACACCGGTCTTCTGATAGATCGTGGTACATTGGAGGAACCTGCCCATCCGTGCAACAGCGAAGACTGTCGCGTGGTACAGTAAATTCAAGAATTTATAAGTATTTATAGCATTGTTATTCTGACCATTATCATAAAACCCTTAATTACTTTTCGCATTCACAGAGATAATTTTGGATGCGGTGGTGGTGAGATTAATGGAGCCTTCAAATACGTTTACACCAATGGGATTCCTTCCGAGAAGAATTACGGGCCTTACTTGCAGCAGGCGAGTTCACACTACACATAGATTTTTTGAAATGAAATATCTTAGGTGACCATTCGATAATTGACGACATTGATTAATTGGACGAGAATTAAAGTAATATTTGAAAGATTTGGGCACATTTCGTTACTTGACAGAGATGAAAGATATAAGAATGCGTTCCTGTATTTGTCGCGCATTCGAGATGCCATTTCATTTTTACGTTTTGTATAGAGTGTTTAAAGTTTTTCTCTCTTCTTTTAGGGTTCCATACCCAAAGGGTAAAACGGGACCCTATTACTAAGACTATCTGTCTGTCTGACCATCTGTCCGTCCGTGATGAGGACTTCTTTTTCTTCGCCTTTTTCTTTTTATTTCTCTTCTGAGATTGCGTCAACGACGGTGGTTGCGGCTTCTCTGGGATCTACGTCTGAACATTCGTTAGCCAAAGAGGTAATCTTTGGCCTTGCTCGCAACGTGGGTTGAAGCGCCCTATCAGGAAACAACTTTGCTTCAAAATCAGCTTTTGTTTTCGATTAGTACCCCTATACGCTCCAAAAATCCTATCTCTTCACCCGTGTTCATGGTGTAGGTCGTGAGGTCAGAGAGAAATAAATTGTTCACTGAGTTCCAAAGTCGTTATATTTATGGTCACTCACAACACAATACAGATAGGAAAGTTCAGGAGAAAGAATAACAGAGCTGAAGAACACGAGCACAAAGTCCGAAATAAATTATGAATACAAATATTAAGCGGTGCGTAAGCGTACACTTCGTAACGATGGGCGTAAGCGTCGAGCGATATGCGCTTCGCGTCGTAAACAGATTTCGACTGTGCTAGGGAGAATCGTCGCCCGGCTCCAGCGCCCGAGTTGACCGCGCCACTATGTACGTCACCGGTGAGCGAACAAAAGATTTGATTTGTTTACTGCAAGTCAACTTTGTAACGGCGAACTGGTTTATGCGTGTGGAGTTCCGTACATATTATTATTTGTACAGTGTAATGTAAATGTGTTGGGTCGTGTCTGTAAATGTGTAATATATATTATGTATATAAATAAATAAATATTGTTATTAAATATAAATTTGATAAATAAAATAATATTTATTGTGTATCCCACAATGGTATCATGAGGTGATTTCTGAGTAGGTGAAACACTTGTCTCGCCACTAGCACGGTTTTGCTTACGAAACAGGCTAATCTCCTCTATGCGCTTTTCCAACTTAAGGCTGGATAGTTGAGAACACAACTCTGCATTCTCCTTCTTCAGTCTTATAACATAAGCGTCAGTGATTGACCTGCGTGCGAGTTCAACTGCCGCAGCTTTAACTTTACGCACGGCTAACCTTAAGCCACGGATGAAGTTTCCTTTTAGATTCCGCGAGTTGTCCGCTACTTTCCCAATGGTCTGGAGTTGAAGACCTATGTGTTCCTCAATATTGCCACTCGGATGAGACTGTAGATCCAGTTATAACTCATCCGGGTTAGGCAACTTTTTCTTTGTCCTTGTTTTTGATGGGGGCACTGAAGGATCGAGGAAATCTTCTTCTGTCGACGCAGACACGACGCAGTTTGCTTCGCCTCAAGGTAGTGTGTTGCCTCTCTACAGATACGATTGGGCTGGCCAGGCTATGCTTAGGTGGATTGGATTAGGGTGGATTGGATTGGACTAGGGTGGATTCTCCGGCGTCGCCGGTACCACCGTGGGGTTGGTTTTTACTCACTGCTTCCATATTTCCTTTTTTACAAGGGTTCGGTTCCTGGAATTCCTCTATCCCCCCTGAGCGCTTGGGACTGGTTTCCACCATTCACCCTCTCGACACGCTCGATCTTAGGGTTGGAGGAATTTTTATAGAGGTTACCTTCCTCACCACCCCAAAAAGCACCCAGGCTCAAAAGCTTACGGGTTGTTACTACCATGCACCTAGTACATCGCCGCATTTGCCACATCCACAGATTTTTACTAAAGAAAAATACAGGAAGTGACGAAGAGCCTTAAAAAGGCCCACCTCGTGGGTAATCCTATGCAGGATTTCCCCATAGCCCTACCACGGTTCATGATGAACCGCGGTACACCCCAGAGCCAGCCAGTTATGGCCCGTGACCACCACCATAGGTGGTATTCCCCTATTCGCCACCTGGAGACGCGCCCGGTGTGAGAACTGGCAATTCCACACGGGTTCATTTCCACATCTATCGCAACAGGACGGCTTCTGCAAATTGGAGAATATGTCGGCGGTGCACAATATCAGGGGCTTCGCCAAGGTTCCCTCGCTGAGTGAGACCGCCATGAAGGCTGCTCTGTACAACTTCGCACCAGTGACCGTGGTGATCCTCGCCAGCCACCACATGATGCTCTACTCCACCGGAGTGTTCTACGACATCGATTGGTATGGAACGAAACGTTGATAAATTAGATACGAGCATAAGCTGTGTTTGTTAGGAAGAGCAATAATGATAATTGACTAGATTTATAGGTCAGTATATCAGGCGAAAGCAATTATGATAGTCTATTAATAGCTCATTGTGTCATGCGCTCGCTTATAAAGTCAACATCAAAATTTCTTTACTCAATAAAGGTTTAATTTAAGCTTTTATTGAACGTCAAAAAAAAACAGATAAGAACCGGCAAGAAACTCTGCGGTCTTGTTATCTCTTTTTTTTTAATGAATCAAAATAAAATAGGAAAGTATAAAATTAGCAGTAGCCAAGGTACTTGCAAGTGCAGAACAAGAGTCCATTCCACACATCCTTACCTTCAATGTATTCTTCGACCGCATACTATACTGTGCCATGGACACGCAACGGCTTCCGCTGTTGCACGAATGGGCAGGCTCGTTGGGGGAAGTACCACGGCCTCACAGAAAACCGGCGTGAAGTGGAAGTCACTACTACTTTAGCGTTTTGTCTGAAGAGCGAAGACACTGGGGCCCACTTTATTAAAAGGTGGCGACGCAACTGCAACCCAACGCGTGTTGCATGTCAATGGGCGGCGGTTATCACTTGACACCAGGTGAACCGCATGCTCGTTTGCCACCTTCACATAATAGGCCCCTGCCAATTGGGTGGCTTTTACAAAATGTTTGAAGTTTACACTTAATTGTTCGTGGACTTGAAATTAGTTGTCACCTATTTTTTATAAAGTTATAGTATATATCTGTAATATATATGTTTATCAATATACTGTTTTCAATCTTATAAATATTAATTACTAGCTGCTGCCCGCAATTACGTCTGCGTAAAATATAGCATTCAGATAGAAAGAGGGATATACGTAAACATATGTATATAAATTATACTAGCCTGTATATAAATTATACATTATATAGTACATACATTATATAGTAGTACTGTATATAAATTATACTATTAATTATATTAGCCTATGTCTTATTCTGATGTAAGAGCTATTTTATTGTAAAGTTTCATTAAAATCAATTCTGTAATATTTGTCAAAGAGTAACAAACATCCATCCATACACACAAACTTTCGCCTTTATAAATATTAGTAAGGAAGTAAGGAAGTAAGGATAAAGCGGTGCCGGTACCAATGGAGAACTAATTTAAGAGCAGACGTAGCACATCAACGTAAGTGTTCACCACACCTAAGAAACGAAATAGATAGTATTAATAAAAATTTCGAAGATATCTGAAATCTTCCAAGCCACGATGGCACTACACGACGTCGCGTGATGAGGTACGCCCTAATACCAGAGGGTTTCGGAGCATAGACCCATCAGGCGACGTACAGAGGTACAGAGGGCGCCTTTGTCCAGCAATGGTACATGTATGAATAGGCGATAATTTTACTTTACTGTGTAGTAAGAATTTTACATTACTTTTAACTCTCCTTGTAAAATGCCCATACCATGTACTCGTAAACCTACCACTCCTTATTTTCCCAACCACTAGTACCACTTTCAAGCTCTCCCTTAACACTACATGTTTTGAAATTATATCATCGCTCCAGTGTCGAGGGAGAATACAACCACGACACTCATTTCCATCCGGGGAGTTCGTCGTAGGGGAACGGAAACTCCTCCGGGATCGGGTGCGTTTCGGGGACGCGACCGGGTTCGATGGGGGGGGGCGCTGCGCCTGGCCTCGGCCCGAACTCCGGCGGGATTATGTCACCGTCATCATCATCGTCCTGTGCGTTCACCGCGGCGACGATTGCTCCGAGCAGCAGGATCTTGAAGATCGTAGAGCACTTCATGGCGACCTGTGAAAAGTTTTCGCTTTGCATTTGACGTTAAAGTCAAAGTCAAAGTTGAAATTTCTTTGTTCAACATAGACTATTTTAAGCTCTTATTGATCGTCAAAATCTACTACCGGTGATAGTGAACCGGCAAGAGACTCTGCGGTCACATTATAACTTTTTTTTATATATATATCAATTATTTAAGTATACAAATAATTCTTTAATTACAAAAGTATTTAAGTATAAAATTAGCAGGAGCCAGGGGACTCGCAAGTTAGCAGTGAGTGGTCGTAAAAACATAGGTCACACGCTGCTCAGACCAAACCCAGCGGGATGAAAGCAGAAAAAAGAAGATGGGAGGGGTGGGCATCCAGCTCCCCGTCATCGACTGATCGGTCGAGCTACAACAAAGTTGCCTTGATGTTGCCAATGTTCAAAAGCGTGGGCTCCGCTTTGCCTCACTGACCAAATAAATCGCAGACGAATGTCTAAACCTAAGCAAAGATATTATATTATATTGTTAGGCTGAAAGCGGATATGCTAACAGGCCTGGGCTGACCCGACGGCGTCTAGTGACGTAAAAACCAGCGCAATCTTGAAAAAGGAGTGTAACTCTGCCTCTAGGTCCTTCAATAGTGCTTTTACCAAGGCGAAGACGGCGCATACTGGCCGAATTGGCGAGAGAATGGCTCATCTCCGGTCTCGCAATGCGATGCTACGATCCTAGAAGTTAGATTCTGGCAAAGTGCAGGTCGCGAAGCACTTTTCCCCTTGAGCGTTTCGTGGAGCAGTGTTGATATCATACACTATAGCTTTTTAAAACCTAGCCAGATGATTGCGGCAGATCTGTTTTGTCAACAATTGCAAACCATGATGGAGCTCGATATTCAACAAGCGAGTCTGGTCAGTTGTTCTGGCACACTGCTGATTCAGAACAACGCTAGACCTCGCTTCAGGACAGATGGTCTCCAAATTAAAGAAGCTGTGATTGGAATGTCTCCAACACCCCTATACTCCCCAGACCTTGCTCCAACAGAATACCAGATTTTTGCAATTTAAACATTTTCTTGCAAGGACAAAAATTCAATTCCAAACCGCAACATTTTATCGAGTCTCGCCCCCGACTTTTTTACAGAAATTTAATCATTGAACTGCCTATAAAATGGCGTAAGTGAACGGATAATAAAGGTACATAGTTCGACTGGTTAAATATATATTTTCATACATATTTTTTCATTTTACTTTTTCCATATGAAACGCCAATTTCATATGTAAAGACGTAACACTTAAAGTAAAAATGAAAGAAAATAACAGGTTACTCACAATGTGTATTCACTTCGAAGTTGTTTCGCTGACCCTTAGTCCGCCTTATATACCACTTTGGAACAATTCGATTAAACATGGTGAACGAGAAACATATTTAAAATCGTTCGTGTATAAAAATTGATTTGCGATGCGTGTAATTTAAGTTTCGGATATGCTTTAAAAGGTTACATTATTTATTGAAGAAAAAAATATATACAATTATGACTATTTTAATTCAAACATATGTGAACCACCCTAGCCCAAAGCTAGTTAAGTTAGGTAGTAGTCAAATCAGATGAGCACATTACTTGACGATCAAAGCTTAAGCATTGCTCTAGGAATCGGTCTAAGAGTGCTGACTTTTCATCCAAACCAATGCCCTTGTGGTGTCAATTTAGATAAATACAGTCTCCATGAACTTTCATATTACCTATGTTCCATAAACATACTAGGGCCAAGGAACAGTCATCGCTGTTGCATGAATGGACAGGTCCGTCTGAGGAGGTACCACGACCTTGTAGAATACCGGCGTAAAGTGGATGCTTCTGAATGATAACCCGCCCCCTATAAGAAATTTAGTGTCTATTCATTTCTTCAAAGCTAAATTAAAAGCCTTTCTGATATCCATGCAAAAATCCGACACTTGAAACCCTAAGGTTTATTTATTTCTTTCCCTTGTTTCTATTTTTATTTTCCCACAAACCAACGTAAACAATTCCAAAAACATTACTACTTACCAATCATTTACAAAAATTACGCACACACACACACACACACACACACACACACACATAGAAACGGTGGTAGGGCCACGGAGTAGCCTAGGCTCACAGAAGACCGGTGTAAAGTGGAAGTGTAATATTTTCGCGTTTCGTCTGGTGAGTGAGGTGGCCGGAGCCCAATTTCCAAAAGGCTGTCAACGCATCTGCAATTCTCGGCGGTATTCACTTAACATCAGGTGAACCGTCTGCTCGCTTGGCAACTTATCAAATAAAAAAACACATACAAACAGACATGAAATTCAATTGTTGTTATGTTTATTAACTATCTGCCATTGACCATTCGGCAGAATGGTGACCTTTTTGGTGCATTGTTGTCTAAATTTTAATTGTTTTGTGTTATGTACCAAATAAATATTTCTTTCTGTGTTTCGTATGGTGATTGAGTTAGCTGGAGCCCCTTTATTAAAGAGTAACAACGCATCTGTAACCCTACGGGATCTTGATTTACACCGGCGTTAGACCGACGAATAGGAGACCTTTCTAGGAGTAACTTTTCGTTTAGGACATTGCTTTGGTCCCGAACTAGGATCTAACCAACTTGCTGAGTGATATCGATTGTCGAACAGAATCCATTATTCTTCGTGCATAACAATCTGGTTCAAAATTCCTTCATTTATATGCCTGTTGAGCAGCGCACTGGGACGCCGAGTTCTGTATGCTATTTTTATTTATGCCTTATTGCTAACCTTAAGAAAAAGGCAACAGAGGGTGGATTTAATGCCCAAATGCAGTCTCTACCAGTCAGCCCAGGATTTAGTAAAATTGTATAGTAGGTGCAGCAAGTGATGTAAAAAATATTAAATATTTTTTTAGGACACTTTAGGACTTGTATGACTGTATTTTTACACTAGCAATGCTTGTGCTATGGGTACTAGATAACTGATAAACATACTTTTCTTTTGTAAATAAATACATATTACTTATACATATATAAACACCCAAATACTAGAAAAACATTATGTTCATTACACAATATTTTTCCAGTAGTGAGGATCGAACCCACAACCTTTGGCGCAGAAGGCAGGTACACTACCCACTGCGCCATTCGGGTCGTCATTTTAATGTAAAAGCAAACAAATTACGATATATGCATAATTATAAATGTAAGGAATTTATAAACTAACATTTTGACGGTGAAACATTCATACCCATTTAAGCTGGCCCAAGTCAATCTAGTAAATTATACGCATATATTTAAATAACTATGTCTGAGCATGAATAACTAGTTCGGAAAATAAGGATGTCAATATAAAATAATCACAGCAGAAAAGTCTGCAGTGACCTTAAACATAGCTGCTTTATATTCTTTTGCCTAATAAAGGACTAAAGTAGTTGGACCATCATGTCTTCATCGTGTATATATAAAGCTTGATGTCTGTGATATAAAGCTTAGAAGTTATGTTTTTTTTTTTACAATTTTGAATTATTGAGCCTATTTTAAATTATCAAAGTGCCTATTTTGTGAGTTACAGTAAATAAGTCTTCTTCGATATACTGAAAGTCTGCCTTATATCCAGTATAACAAAATAGTTATTAGATTTTAACGACCTAGGGTGTCTTTACAACAACTGTATAAGATCATCAATCTTAGACAACTTATTGTTCAAATAAATTCCATTTCTTGATTTCTTACGGACAAATTTCAATCCTTGAATAATTAGTGAAAGAGATCTCCAATACATATCTTATCAAAAAATCCATTATACTCGTACCCTGACCAATATTTTAATTTGATGTAGAGAGAACGCAAGCATGCATTATTTAAATTGTCAATTCTTTAATATCCTTTATATACCTTATATCCTTTTATATGCTTGATTTAAAAAGTGTGGGGCGCTTTGTTCAAAGTTATTAAAAGTAAACACATAAAGCAGCAAATACTAGAGCACCCTAGCAAGAGCCTAAGAACAATGGAAGCCATACGCCTGTCCAGTCGCCCTGGTCTGCTGCGTGATTCTGGTCCTCTCGGGACATTTTTTTTCTCTATTCTTATTTTAAAAAACATTGCCCTTACTTTAGGATAACATTATCCTGTGTTGTAGGGACGGTTTACATACATAAATTTCACGCGGACAAACACCCAGATGCGAAACAACTACCTGTGGGTCACACAAATAGTTGTCCCGTGTGGGAATCGAACCCACGACCCCCGACGCCGAAGCCAATACCTTGGCAACTGTGCCACGGAGTCATCATCACGGGACATGGTTGTTTCCGAAGGTAACAGTTCCGGGTGGCAGGCGGAGAGCCCACAGCGTAATGCTGGTGGCATTGACTGTGACACATATGTCACATATGCCAGGGACACGGCCCTACTAACACCGGAGTGTCGAGACCTAAACACTATAACGGTGCATGACCTTTTGCTGCGAGCCGTATTTCATGCTATGATTGACAGCGAGAGGGTATTGAATGCCACAGAATGAATAACTTCGTCCTTTATGAACCGAATTTGATTATTCTTTTTTTGTTGGAAAGGAGATATCCCAAGGGTGGTACCATACCATCATAAGGAAACCCGGATCTGATGATGGCATCCCAGAGAAATCGAGGGCAATAGTCAAATCGTCGAGCAACTGTTGAGTTCCTTGCCGGTTTCTTCTCAACAGAAACTGCTTTCCGAACGGGTGGTAACTTACGAATGTTTTAATTTCTATGTAAAATTTCGATGTTTCATAAGAATGCGCAAGCGTCTATGTGAATGAAAGTATTGAATTTGAATTGAAAATCTTATAGGAACAATGCTTTTTAGTCCGGTTTTTTTTTTTTGTTAAAAACTATACTTAGTTTGTTTTAGTTCCTCGACCTCGGTTGACTTAGTTTCTGCAATTAAAACAATATGTGCGCTCTCAAACATTTAATGTCCTAGATGATGATGTATTGAAGATGTGACACTCATTTCCATCCGGGGAGTTCGTCGTAGGGGAACGGAAACTCCTCCGGGATCGGGTGCGTTTCGGGGACGCGACCGGGTTCGATGGGGGGCGCTGCGCCTGGCCTCGGCCCGAACTCCGGCGGGATTATGTCACCGTCATCATCATCGTCCTGTGCGTTCACCGCGGCGACGATTGCTCCGAGCAGCAGGATCTTGAAGATTGTAGAGCGCTTCATGGCGACCTGTGAAATGTTTTTTGCTTTGTATACCACCGCCCATGGACATCTGCTGGTACTAAAAACTAAATTAACAGTATTACCCGAGTGTTTTGTATACAGATGCGTTGACAACCTTTTGAAAATAACCTAAGTAAAGACAGGGCATCGCGAGCTGCTATTCATAGGATTCCTCTTTACTGTTTTTAAATTTGTCCTTAATCTGACTAAATGTGGTAGAGCCACGCAGTTGGGTGGTAGAGCCACGCAGCACCCTCGGCTGTTGCACGAATGGGCAGTCTCGTCCGGGTAAGTACCACGACCTCACAGAAGACCGGCGTAAAGTGGAAGTATGAATACTTTCGTTTCGCGTTTCGTCTGGTGAGTGAGGTAGCCGGAGCCCAATTTCCAAAAAGGTTGTCAACGCATCTGCAAACCCTCGGGTGTAGCAGATGTCTATGGGCGGCGGTATTCACTTAATATCAGGTGGACCGTCTGCTCGTTTGGCAACTTTTCACATAAAAAAAAAATAAAAAAAAATCTGATATGTTTTGTATAAAAGTCCATGCTCAAAAATATACCCCAACGCATGTTAGCGTCAAACTCAGAATGGTATTTATAATTTTGGTATAATCGTAACAAATCTATGAAGAATAAAATTTGTATACAAACACGAGAATTATAAATTTAACTTTACGTACTAAAAATAAATTAACGAGTATTACTCACAATGTGTTGTATGTACGTCGAAGCTATTTCTCTTACCCTTAGTCCGCCTTATATACCCGGTTGGAACAATACAATCTATATGACGTATATAAAACATATTTAAATTTGTTAACGTAAACAAATCGATCTGTGCGGCGTGTGATTAAATCTCTGGATATGCCTCAAATTGAATTATATAGCAATTTATTCAATATATCGATAGTTCACTCTTGTGCATTAAGGCCCATTTACACGATGCCATTTTCTTGTACATACAAGAGCAATAATTGAATGCAATAAATTGCGCGCAATAATTTGTTAGACCATTTGTTGTTTAGACCATGCAACTCATTTATTGCTTCAATTTAATTGTATACAACAGGCAAGAAACTTGCACCGTGTAAATGGGTCTTTACTGACAAAATCATCAATAGACCCGGATGTTACAAGTGAGCCAAGAAAACGGAATTATTCCTGTGGTCAGTAGTTCTTAATGAGATAAAGCCACTTAGCTGATGCATGTATGGACTCATAAAACACAGACGGAGGGCACAGCCATATGAATGCTTTTGCGCTCCGTCTGGTGAGTGAGGTTAATGGGGGTGCACTCCCTTAAAGTTGATAAAGTAACAGCCATTTCATGGTCATTACTTCCTTTGTCATTTTCTCCCGTGGAAAAACGGTTACATACATGAACTATATGCCCCGAAACGATTTAAAAGATCCGAAGTTAACCCACGCCAATCCCATAATAAATACGCAATTAACGTTGTTCAGTGGCTCCGGTATCCTAACGAGAATGTATTATCTTTTCTGTAACTTTAGTTTAAATATAAGCTTCTAAGCTATTGATCAAGTAATTATTGTTTTCTGGTAACTTCTGTGGTAAGCAAAAGATTACATATACATCATTTTTATGTATATATTTACCCACAAACATTGACTTTTCACCATGACAAATGTTGACTGGTATAGAATGTCATGAGGCATTAAGTTCGCCCATTGTAGCCTTTAGCCCAGGGTAACAATGAATTTTAAATAAACAAAACAATAAAAGATATTCGATAAGTAAACACATTATGTTAAGATTTTGCCAATAGCCGTGATAGCTCAGTGTCCCTGCAATCGCCTTTAATTCAATCGCTCGCCTTTAAAGCAACCTGAGTTCGATCCCCGGGGTCGGCACCAATGAAATTGTTAATTTTAAGTACCGAATTATCACGTGCTCATTAGTGAAGGAAAACATCGTGAGGAAACCTGCATATTTTCGAAATAATATCAAAAAAATAATATTTCGAAGATACGTGAAGTCCACCAATCCGCAGTGGGACCGCGCGGTGTACTATGCCCTGACACCCTCTGTACAGAGGAGGCCTTTGCCGCTGGGCAGCCTATACATGTCCCACTGCTGAGTGGTGCATGTATAGGCTGATACTTTACTTTACTACTCTTTAAGTTTTTTGCTAAAATGGGCTTCGTTGTAAACTTTTAGAAAACATGATTAAAGTTTTTGAGGTTAAGAGGCACGGCTCAAAGTTTGCTCCGTCTTGCTCGTATTGCATTTTGAACCATCGTAGGTGTATTTTTGGCGAAACCGGATATCACGCGTTGCGCCATTTCGACCACAGTGGGCAATCGGTTGAATATTATTTGTCCTTTACATAACCACAAAAAAATCTAGCGGCCTGATAAGTGTAAGATATCAACATTAAAATCAATAAATAGATCATTGACAAACTTGCTTGTCTGTGACGTAGCCGTGTAAGGTTCATTGTGCATTGTTCGGGCGCTCGTCTTTAATTCAATTTACTCGAGCAACCTGAGTTCGATCCCTGGTGCCGGCACCGATGAAATTAATTTTTTTTGAAATTGTCCGCCAATCCGCAGTGGGGCCGCGTATGGACTATGCCCTGATACCCTCTGTACAGAGGAGGCCTTTGCCCAGCAGTGGGATATTTATAGACTGTCACATTCTATGTATTTGCCACACAATTGTAATAACTTATTGACCTTTTGGTGATCTTCTGTATTACGTAGATGTGGTCCGATATCAGACGAATTTATCAGTACATAATGAAAAATGAATAAAATTGCAATAAATATTAGATTTAACAGATATGCAAAAATAAAAAAAAACCCCATTAAGTTTAGATAAAACTAGTTCGGCTATTTTCATTATTTAAATATGGCAAAGGCTTTGCTATGACTTTTGACTGTTGCAATTTTTGAACAGACCACACAAATATATTTTTTTCTTTTGGAATTCTTCTAATATAATAGCTTGCTTATATTTTTGCATTGTTGTTTCCTTCAGTCGCGACTAAGCAAGTCAAAGCGATTGAAACCACTTTGTTAGCTTTGTGATATGCGACAAATATCCATTAAAGGTAGGGTATCAGAACGTAAAAATATCGATGTTTCACGCATCACACAGGTCTAGCGAAACGGAGCGCGGACGAAAGCCGTAAACATCGTACATATATAAACGCAACTAATCCAGATCAAATCACATCGCGTCCGTTTCGTCAACGGTGCTCTCCAGAAAATTCTCAAGGTGAGTACCTCATTGTGGTGGAATTCAACCTTTCGTGCCGGGACCTCGACGAATGGGCAGGTCCGTCTGGGGAAGTACCATGACCTCACAGTAGACTGGAGCGAAATGGAAGTGTCATACTTCTGCGATTCATCTGGTGAGTGAGGCGCAGCCCTCGTTATTATAAGGTACGCAATCCAACCTTACGGGTGTTGCAAATGTCCATGGGCGGTGGTTGTCACTTAGCATCAGGTGAACCGCAATCTCGCTTGCCACCTTCTCATACGAAAAAAGAGAAAAAAAAGCAGTTTGGATTCACCTACGGCCAACGAGCAGTGATAGCTCAGTATCCGAATTCAATGGTACTCAAGCGACCTGAGTTTAAATCCCTGTTTTTGGAATCAAAGAAATTTTAATTTTAAGTGCTGACTTAACACGTGCTCAGCGGTGAAAGAAAACATCGCGAGAAAAAGAAACAGATATTTCAAAGGTTTGTTAACTCTGCCAATCAGGGAGATGGTAGTCATTGCCTTAAAACCCTCGTACAGAGGAGGTTTTTCCCAGCAGTGGAACATATATAGGATGTTGCATTAAATTACATTACAGTCAATGTGCCTTCCCAAATATTGTTTACAGGATCCTGTGCAAAAATGGCAATTAAAATATTATTTGCTCCAAGAATGACTATATGACGACTCCATTGCCGTAGGAGATAGGTAGTCTGTCTCTTGCCCCAGAGGTTGTGGGTTCGATCCCCATTACTGGAAATATAATGCGATGAATGAACATACTATTTTTTCCAGTTCATCGGTGTTTTATATCTATAATATGTATTAATTTACAAAAGTCGAACGTCATGATAATATCTATTTCTATTAACGATAAACTTGTGACACTACACCTAGACACTATGATGGGTCACCCTGTGGTGGAACGATTTTAGCCGTGCGTTCATAAGGAGCCTCCATGTGGTGGAACGAAACCGTGTATTCAAAACCCCCGACAGTTCAGGTGATGTCGCCCCTCAAGTTCCTGATCTTCGCCGCGCTCGCCACGGCCGCCTGCGCGGGCGGGGGCCGCCGGCGTCTGCCGGACCCGGTGCCAGCCCCCATGCCGGACCCGAACTTCATGGAGGTGTCGATAGTGCCCTGCGACGCCAGCAACAACTTCTGCGGCAGCATAACGACCCCGCCGCCGATCATGGAGGGCACGGGCGGCTTCTACTTGCCCGGGAAGTAGGCTCGTCGTCGGCCGAAAGGGATTCTAGTTATTAAACCGTACGACGATGAACTGTGTTGTTTTCTTCTTTTTAGGGTTACGTACCCAAAGGGTAAAACGGGTCCCCTATTAGGGTCCCCTATTAGTGAGACTCCACTGTCTGTCTGTCTGTCTGTCTGTCCGTCTGTCAGCCGGCTGTATCTCATGAACCGTGACAGACGTTTGAAATTTTCACAGATCATATATTTCTGTTGCCGCTATAACAGCGAATACTAAAAAACAGAGTTTACGTTTTTCTGGTCTTTTTTCCAAATTTCTGATGTTATCCGTACGCTTAATGTCATTAATTATATTACCGAAAAACTCTAGTTTCCGTGATTTGAGATTCATTTAATCTCCACATCCTCATTCATCGGTAGTTTTAAAAATTATATATTACATAAGTACATAACTTAGTAGATAAGCATGTCCTTTTTATTTCATTCTCCTGTCATACCTTAAGTAAAAAAATTCTAATCATACATGTCAAAAAAAACAAACAGTAGAAAGAAACAGAAAGAAATAGAACATTGACTTCTTGATTTTACGCGAATATTATACATGTATCAAACAAAGAAAAACATGTTAAATGAAACTAGTCTACGGATTTTATCGCGTTTTTATTTTGATTTTGTATGATTTCCCGACGTTTTGAACCCTTTCCATCGTTCATGATCACGGGATAGACTAAGTCGTTACAAGTCTTGATGTCAAAGTGAACCCCGGCTACCGTCAATTATTTTGTTGTTTTATTTTTATTCCGATCTACGCAAAAGGAGCTTATAGTATCAGCTTGAGGTCTAGCAGTGTCAGTATGCTTGGATATAACTTTATAAATTGTGGGATCCCAAGCAGATGATAAAATCCGTAAACTGCTTACATTCAATAAGAATCAAAGAATACATTAAAATGTGGCACTTCGTAATAATAATAAAATTATTTTGAAATCGGCGTAGAAATCAATTTAGGCGGTGCGCTATTTTAGTTTTCGATCCGCACTGATTTAAATTATACGGTATTTGATTTTACGAATACACAATATTTATACGATTATATTTACGAATACACAATACGGAATGATGGCAACAAGGTAGGTTGTAGAAATTCTTAAACTATGATCCTCTGGATCGAAAAGTCGCGAATACGATTCCCGAAAATTAAACGTATCTTTATTTCAATGAAATGGTGGGAAACGAGCAGCGATACAATAAATTATTCGTTATTAGTAAATATTAAATAAAAAACCGGCCAAGACCGAGTCGGCGAGCCCCGATACGGTCCCGTTTTACCCTTTAGGTACGGAACCCTGAAAAAGAACTCGCTAAATCTGCTAATATACTTTTGATAATTTCTCTTATTGAACATTTGTTTACAACAATTCAAGTTATTGTATTATTGTTCTGTAATAATGTAATTTGTTTTTAAATATATTTATTTCACTATTGAGTGATTACCGCCGCCCACGTCGGCCTCTTGGGTTGCAGATGCGTTTTTAACCTATCCTTAAAAACTTTTAAAAAAAGTTGGCCCCGGTTACCTCACTGACCAGACAAAACGTGAACGACTTCTGTGAGGCCGTGGTACTGCCCCGGAGGAGCCTGCCCATTCGTGCAACAGGTTGCTGGTGCTTGCCGACACCAGAGACTAAAGGCCCATTTACACGATGCCATTTTCTTGTACATGCAAGAGCAATAATTGAATGCAATAAATTGCGCGCAATAATTGGTTAGACCATTTGTTGTTTAGACCATGCAACTTATTTATTGCTTCAATTTAATTGTATAGAACAGGCAAGAAACTGGCACCGTGTAAATGGGCCTTAAAAGTACAATATCCTTGTGTAAAAATTATATTTTCTAAAAAATCAGTCTTCGTTCAAACATGCGCGCGCAAAACTCGAAAATAAATTGTCGATAGATTTGAAATTTAATAATTTTTAACAATAAAAAACCGACTTCAAACCGAAATTCAAAAACATTTTTGATACTTATAACATAGGAAGATTGCCCTCGATTTCTCTGGGATGCCACCATCAGATCTGGGTTTCCTTATCATGGTACCCTTGGGATAGGTCCTTTCCAACAAAAAAAGAATCACCAAAATCGGTTCATAAACGATGAAGTTATCGGCGAACACACATAAAAAAAAATGTAAAATAAAAAAAATAAAAATACGGTCGAATTGAGAAACCCCCTCCTTTCTGAAGTCGGTTAAAAACCTCCTCCTTTTTAAAGTCGGTTAAAAAAAACGTTGCATCAGAATATTTTGTGTTTTATTTCATTACTTCCATCGTCATCCGTGGACATGTAGGCTTGGAGTGCGTTTTAGCAATGGGAAAAAGAGAAAATGTGCAAAAGATTCTGTGCTTTGACGCGCGTAATGGATAGTTTGACGGGGATGATGTAATTTAACCTTTTTTTATAATAATTTCTTGTATTTACGCGATTACACATTACTAAATGAAACTATGTTTTCGGATTTATCGCGTTTATTTTCAGTTTTAGGTCGCGAGACAGACCATGAACGCCTATTCTATTTATACCACAATATGGCCACATTAGCGCTAGGGCGCATGGTATTGGTATTAAATTAAATAATATGAATTTTTTAGTGAATCTTTATCCTAAAGAATCCATTTTTTGGATTTTACAATTATTTATCATCACAAAGAACCAAGGCGAAACAACGAGAAACCACCGCACGAGTAACAAAAATAACTTTAAGAATGTTTTTAAATAATTCTGACTTAAATGGCTTGTCATAATATAGATTAATATTAATGAGCCAAATATTTCACATATTACTAACTCCAGCACTTACTATTTAACAAAGAGAAAGGTATTCAACTAAAAAAAATTAACCATGTATAAGAACCAGCTGATCTTTTAACAGAAAGGACCCAAAAACTGATTGAAATCTTTAGATGTGCACAGACTTACTTTTGACTTACTTTGGTATATAGGGTAAGTAGTGTAGATGTGTAAAGTAAAAGTTACTTCTCTCTACATAATTTCTGTGGATGTGAATATATCAATAGAACAGTCGGGCTAACGTCTATTTAATTTGCTACTTTAATTTTAATTAGTCCAAGTGCATTAAGAATGGTTTATAATCATAATTTTCATTCATGCAGCTGTCTGCGAGATGTCAATATATCCTTTTCCCAAAACTCAAGTGTTTTCATGGGTTGTTGTTTACAATTGACATGATGAGGCAGAACGATTTTACGACATTTGTCAAACATGTTTCCTATCCGATTTTTTTAAATGAAATTGGAAAACTCCAGCGCATTTATATTGCTGATTCTTTGCACCAGAATAGTAATAAAAACCATCCAAGTGCGAGTCTAATCATAAAAATCGTCGAGTCAATCTATAAAAATGGCACAGGAAATCATGTCTATTGTATGGGAGCCCCACTTGAATATTTTTTTTATGTAGTTGATTATTCATAGTTTAGTTTTTATAGCATCAACAGAAATACATCATCTGTGAAAATTTCAACTGTCTAACTATCACGGTTCATGAGACATGGTAACAAACGGACAGACACGACAGACAGACAGCGGAGTCTTAGCTATATGGTCCCGTTTTACTCTTTAGGATACAGAACACTATAAACTAATTCGAAAACAAATGATTCGGAGCTGGCCAGATCTCAAACAAACGCGGTTTCCTAACGTAGAGGGCAATTGAAGGTCGCCTGTTGAAATACCGCTGATAATCTCGCACTGGAAGTAACGATGCTGTGAGGGTAACTGGTTCTAAGCAGCGTTATGACGAAAGGCGATCGAGAAAATGGCCTAAAGAAGCACGCCTATGCAATTAGACGGTTGTGGGTTAAGGCAGAGCGATCTTTGTCGCTGGACGTAACGTAAGCTGAACATTACAGTGTTTATTTAATGAATTTATTCTCCTTTTGGCGCGTTTAGAGTGAAATTCTTATGGTGCGCGCTCACACCGACAGACAAAGAGCGACATGTTTGAATTTGATGGCAAAGCGGCCAACTTCACGGCATCACCATGGCAACCAATAACACATTTTTGACATTTTCCTAATCGTGCTTTTCCAAGTATTTGAATTAAACAGTTAACAATTGCATTTAATGGCACAGGGGATAGCATTTTTAGTTGTTTTTCTTTTGCAACATTAAAACTTCTTTAACTTAAAATAACTTCTTACGTATAAATATAAACACAGCCATAATTTATTTATTTATTAAACCAAAAACGTTTTGGCTTACATTACATACAATAATTTTTTTTTATGTGAAAAGTTGTCAAACGAGCTGCCGGTTCACCTGATGTTAAGTGAATACCGCCGCCCATGGACATCTGCCGCACCCGAGGGTTACAGATGCGTTGACAACCTTTTGAAAATTGGGCTCCGGCTACCTCGCTCACCAGACTCAATCTCAAGATTAAGTTGTTGCTTATATGTTAACTCGTGATATGGTTATGCAATTCGGTCTGGTACAAACATTTATTTACATTACTTGACTTAAGAAGAAAAACATTACGCTCCTTCGGCAGTCGGGTGAGTTGTTTGTCAGAGCGATGACGAACTGCATGGACGCTATAACGGGCTGACTACTCATCTTTATTGGGGTTAATAACGGGACATTCGTCGCGTGTGCTGTTTTCCTGTCGCTTATAAGCGGCTTTTGCGCTCCCATCTCACCGCCAGTATCGGAAGTGAAGACATGAAGCGTGCTTTGGTAAGGCTTTTTATCAATTTTTTCTCAATTGTTACCATACGGTGGTAGGACCACGCAGCCGCCTCGGCTGTTGCACGAATGGGCAGGCCCGTCCGGGTAAGTACCACGACCTCACAGAAGACCGGCGTATAGTGTAAGTATGACAAATACTTTCGCGTTCCGTCTGGTGAGTGAGGTAGCCGGAGCCCAATTTTCAAAAGGTTGTCAACGCATCTGCAACCCTCGCGTGTAGTAGATGTCCATGGGCGGTTGTATTCACTTAACATCAGGTGAATCGTCTGCTCGCTTGGCAACTTTTCAAATAAAAAATAAAAAAAATATCGCCACGCGCCTGTATCCCATATCGGGGGTTTTCGCGTTTATTTTCGGCAATGTATCTTACATGTTCAACGAGTCAGCTAAACCCGTTAATTCTTTCGTCGGTTCCATCATTTTTGACGACCTCATTGGCGTGGTGGAGCCTGTCTCTTTCGCTAGAGGGTGTTGGTTCGATTCACACTTTAAAATTATTTCGCGATGAAAATATTTTTCTACTATCTGGGTTTTTATTTATACTATAGTATATGCACATAATTACTTACAAAAAAATAGTGTTTATCAGCTGCCTAGTATCCATAGTACAAGCTTTGCTCAGTTTGGGTCTAGATATCGTTTGGTAAATATGTCTTGAAATATTAATCTATTTATCGGTTTTGTTACGTTCGAAACTAACGGTTGTAATTCATTTGAAGCTAATAATTTGCTTGTATATAAATTGCGTTAAGATTTTCGTCGGTGTCGCAATCAGCCGTTTAGCTTAATGGCTAAAGCGTCAGGACGCAAACGCAAAAAAAGTATATAAAAACCGTATTAAAACCTCTATTAATAAACGACCCAATTCCAGGTCTGTCTGTCGCTTCTATCAGTGCTCTTGGCATCAGCAGCGCCAAGAAGCAAGAAATCCCTTCAGGACTTGGAGCAGTCCTTCCTGCACAGGCTTCATCAGCCCTGGCACAGCCAAGAAGCACAACCGAGCCTTCCTCGCAAAGGGGAATACCCGTGCAAAGGTGGAAGTTGCAAGAGCAAACGCCCATGCGAGGATTGCCAAGGTCATGTTCCTTTGGACGTCGGATGGGAGAAAATAAAATGATATGATAATGAAGTCAATTTCTTTTAATTCAACTAGTTGGTTGCGTTGAATGAATCGTTATTGGGCAAATGGTTTAACAAAACTCTTTACCCAATTTCCGAAGGAGGTTAATGTTTTTCAAGCGTATGTACGTATTTCTATTTGCATTGCTAATAATTTGACACGCAGTACAACCTTAAACTTTAGACGTTTCTTAATGTATGAAGTGTCATTAAATTCGTCTCAGTTGAGTGACATAGAATATATTATTGTAATAGAGTGGCTGTGAAATTAATAAGGCGATAGTCAATGATGTTATATACAAATAATACGTATGGATATGACACTAACGCGCAGAAACTGAGGCACTCAAATTACGCAAATTGGTGTAATTAGATTACAACTCTATAGACTGCTTTTTAGATCTCTTTCCGTATTATACGTTCTATATCATCTGTCACATTCAATTGTATATGCTTTATAATGTAAAGCGGAACAATTTTTAAACGCAGCGCAATATATGCGTAATCGTTATTAAAATACCATAGGCAATAGTCAGTATTTTAATTTAATCGGCGTTTTGTTTCATTATAAAACACGGGCACTAGCAGAAAATTTTTGACCAATCTGTGTTACAACATATACAGTTCTTATTCCCGAAATAATCATAATATCTAATAATCAACAGTCATTGCTGTATTTACACATAAAAAGTAAAAGTAAAGTATCAGCCTATACATGTCCCACTGCTGGGCAAAGGCCTCCTTTGTACAGAGGGTAACGGGGCATAGTCCAACACGCGGCCTCGCTGCGGATTGGCGGATTTTTTATTATTATTACGAAAATACGCAGGTTTCCTCACGATGTTTTCCTTCACCGCTGAGCGCGTGATAAGTCAGCACTCAAAATCCACAATTTCATTGGTGCCGGCACCGGGGATCGAACTCAGGCTGCTCGAGTATATTGAATTAAAGGCGAGCGCTCGGACACTGAGCTATCACGGCGCAGAATAGAAAAACACTAATCCAAGAATTTTGATGGCTCCGTGGCGCAGTCGCCTAGGTATTGACTTCGGCGTCGAGGGTCGTGGTTTCGATCCCCACACGGGACAACTATTTGTGTGACCCACAATATAGTTGTTTCGTATCTGGGTTTTTTTCCACGTGAAATTTATGTTTGTAAAACGTCCTTACAGCACAAGATAATGTTATCCTAAAGTAAGGGCAATATAAAAAAAAATAGAAAATAGAAATAGAAATAAGACTCAGTACCTACATATTTTCAATCAGCACAAATTCAAATATATTTAAATTTTTATATATCGCTAATCACATAAGATGAAATAAAACCGTTTAAAAACTTTTAAGTTAAACGGTTTTATTTTATGTTTTTTTTTTGTTAATGTTGTATTGTCATCTAAATTAAATGTGTGTACCAAATTTCAGATCAATCTGACAACGGCAAGGTGCTTAAATTTCAATTTCTAATTTTGACCCAAATAAATAAACAAACAAATTCCGTACGGGTCGAGCTAAATAAAACCGTTTAAAAACAGCGGTGACAAATGTATCGTACTTTTTCCTACAAATTTTAATCAAATCTATTCAATATAGAAGCATTGCACTCACTTATTGACAAAATGGTACTACCAGTTCGGGGGGAAAAGTCCCTCGACCTGAGAAGAACCGACGAAAGAAATTCAGCGGGACATTTTTTTATTTACCAGTGTTTTACAAATAAATAAGCGTACAATCTATTAAAGTACACTTGAAAATAAATACCGTAAATATGTATTAAAATAAACATTGTATGCATCTCACTTAAAATATATTTACTTAACCACTTACCTTTTACGTGCTAAAAGGAATTACTGTTCAGGCCTGTTATACCCATTGGCTTTAGACAGTTGACGGCAAAACTGTAAACTGTGCCAGTTGAAGTTTTTACCATTTGATTAATACCTTTGTTACAAGTGAAATATTTTTATTAACAAAAACGTAAACCACTTCACACTTTTTTTTGCCGAGAAATTAGGCCGAGGAGGCCTAAGTAAAAGTGTTCAAAAGGAACTATTAATATCGGTTCATAAATATCGAAGTTATAATATAACAAACACAAAAAAAATATAAACGAGATGAAAACCTCCTCCTTTTTTGAAGTCGGTGGAAGAGGACACGCATTTAAGTTAAAATTCTGTTTTAAACCCTGTTTTCACTAATCTGTGCAGCCGTATTCGAGCATTATTTAGACAAACATTCAGATCAATGCTTAAAAATTTAAGCGCTTGTTTCGTTTTCACCACCGTTACACTCACGCCCGGTTTCTGAAACACTACACACTTTCACGGTGGTAGGGCCACGCAGCAGCCGCGGCTGTTGCACGATTGGGCAGGACCGTCCGGGTAAGTACCACGACCTCACAGAACACCAGCGTAAAGTGGAAGTATGACAAATACTTTCGCGTTTCGTCTGGTGAGTGAGGTAGCTGGAGCCCAATTTTCAAAAGGTTGTCAACGCATCTGTAACTCTCGGGTGTAGCAGATGTCCATGGGCGCCGGTATTCACTTAACATCAGGTGAACCGTCTGCTCGTTTGGAAACTTTTCGCATGAAAAACTAATCATCGTAGATGTCAACTAATCAGCTGTCAAATTGCCCTTCAAATTTCATTTTAGTTGCCAAAAGGATGTTTAAACTCTGAATTGGCCAGAATGATCTTAATGATAATCAGTGTTTCTCAATAATAATCAGTGTTTCAGAAACCAAGTGTTAGTCACGCTCAAAACTTTAGGTGACACTTAAGCGGTGGTGAAAACGTAACTAGCTCTTAATTTATAGGTGTCCCCTAAAGTGAGGGACCGATGGTGAAAAAGGGCATTAATGTACCATTTGTATATATGATACCATCACGTACACAAAAGCTTCGTTAAAGGCTGTAAACGATAATGACGATGAACAGCTGAAACTTTGTATCGATTAAATGATAATAAAAGTGTACCAGTGTATTCAGATATATTTATCAAATTAAAGTGTGCATTGTCTAAGCATTATTTGTAAGTCAGCAATTAGCTTTTAAACTTTGTCGGATGTCAAAAGTTATCTGTCATTAGTAGGTACAATTCATTTTACTGCTAAGTATGTTTCAAAGGGTAGACAGAGTAGTTGTTAGAGTCGATGTCGTTTAGCGAGATTATTAATCGTTTCGGGATGCTACTTGTATTGAAAATTATAATGCGTCGAAACTCAAATGTTTCTCAACGTAGTAGTGAGGTTAAGGTCGATGACCCTGACTAAAATTATCTTAAGCGGCCGCGGGTTGCGTTGACGCAATGTCTAGAACAATTGTGTTTTTGAACCGACTTCAAAAGGTGGAGGCTCTCAATTCGACTGGTTTTATTTTTTATGTTTGTTACCTCAGAACTTTCTACTGACAACCGATTTTGACGATTTTTTTTTACTTGAAAGCTGGCGCTTCCCATGTGGTCCCATATTAATGTCATTGGTATTGGATCTTTGGCTCCCGAGATACTTGGGGAACTCCTGAAGATCAATTATAAAATGAATACAGAGCGAGATATTTGAAGTCAGTTTTTGGTTTTCGTTAATGAAATAGTAGAATTGTACATACATAAATCACGCGGACAAACACCCAGATCGGAAACAATTATCTGTAGGCCATATAAATAATAGTCCCGTGTGGGTACCGAACCCACGACGCCGAAGCCAATACCTTGGTACTGCACCATGGAGTCAATTATTGTCATTATTAAATTTTATCGAAAGCCTAGTTAGTATTTGTACTTCTAACATTTACATTAAAACGGGTATTCTAATAAACATTAATTATGGGACAATTGCTACAATTGAAAGGTCTAAATGGATTCACGCTTTACCAATGTGATTGAATTGACCGCTGAGTCACGAGTGGATATAATTATTTAACACTAGGTTTCGCCAACGACTGTGCGTGGGTTTTGCTAACGGGACTTTTACCAAACCGCAATAATCAAACATGTTTTTGTCGTTTCTCTCGATTTTGAATCATAAGGTCAAATACCAATTTAATAAAAACTCTTCACGTTACTTTATTTTAAGAGTGCGATTCTCTAGGACTCTTCCTTTGGAATGTTACTGTATATGATACGTGTATTTTCGGGACAAGATGCCCCAAACAGAAATAAGCTATATTTTCTAGCTTATTTCTATTTGGGATGTCTAGGTCTTAGAAATTAATATGTATAATTATTATCCCTTTGATTACTATAATGTGAATTTTGGGCAATATATTTCTAACATTATTACTCTACTAATAGACAAACCTCAAGTTTATGTACTAACTGACGATTTGTATACAAATATAAAAAGTTTTCCAACGTCTCGACGTTTGGTCGGATAAAGCATCAGAAGTCGCTGTATGTATCGTTTTCTTATTTATATACTAATTAATATAACTTTTACATTGCATACGACCGCTTTTACATCGACTTGCCTACCCATTTAAATAAGCACTTACTAGTTTGTATACATACGTATTGCGGTCATATTTACCCAATATTTGGCGAGACGATAGTTCATGGCTACGGTAGGAAACAATGCCACCTATATAAAAGAGCAAAATGTCTTTAGATGAGTTATTGTAAACAAAATATTAGAAATTTCTCTACGTCATTCTACTAACGCCAATGTTTTAATACAGCCTCCGATACATTGGACCATTGTATTGTTTTCGGAGCAGTACCTACTTATCTGCTACTTCATAATTAAAAACCTATTTTGAAGAACTAACGGAGGTCCGCTTATCTCGGGAATGAAACATTTTAAAACAAATAAAAACAGCCCTTCGTTTCGCAACGAAACTCGCGTTGCGCGATTTAATCCGACCGTGCGAAGTAAAGGAAGCATTTGCCAGTTGCCTTAGTCCGGCGAAGACTGTCTGAGCAAATGGTCTGTGCGCGGCGCCATTAAAAAAAAAATTTCCCGCCATTCGCAGAGCCGCGTTGGAGGGCACGTGCAACCGAGGGTTCATTATAAAAATGATCACGTATCTCCGTGCAGAATCGACTAATACGCGCGCGAAAACTTTATCAATGTAGTTGACGCAGAATTTTAGTGATTCGAAAAATGACGGCTTCATGGCGGCGCGTTAGTGTGTTGTTTTTACTATCTGTGGTCGTCGCTGACAGAAGAGCCGAGGAGGGCTACCCTAGAGGACTCACGTCATTTTGTATGTATATATGACTCTTCTTATAGCTTTTATAATGTTTATTAAAAATAAATATTGCCTTTAACACGATCACTGCGTCGGCCTAAAACACCTCGTACGTAATGCGACTGTAGTGTGCTTAAGAAAAATAGAGTCTTCTCTCTGGTGCAGACGACGTTATTTCAAATCTGTCTAACGTTTGAAAGAGATGAATATATATATATATATATATATATATCTAAATGTTCTATTCAACCAGAGTGTTTTGGTATACTCACCACGATACGAGATTTTAGAGACCTATTACCGCTCTTGGACAGAAACAAGGTTCAAGTTTCTAAGCTCTGCGTGGTCAAATGAACCCCGCACTGCGATTCTGATAGTTTTAGTATAAGGCTCAATACATCTCGTTCGCGGTAATTTAAAATATCGATAAATAAGTAACGTTGTCAACGTGTTCATGTAGTTTATAATAATTCACAAACTCTATCGAGTTTTAGGACTTAAGTTTGAGTAAAATCTCATTGTGCTAATCACATTTCATCAAACTTATTTCCTATTGCTTGCTGTGTACTTCCCAAAAACAAGGCTTATGGCTAGGCTAAATATCAATAATTGTATCGTTTAAATTCGTCAAAGCACGCGATAAAAGTTTACATACATCCAGTAAAATTCAGCAATATAATATTGATCGATAGTATCTAAGATTAAATAATCGGTTTGAACGCGAGGAACCACTCCTAATACTTTTGGTAATTGATTGTATAAAACTGCAAAAAACCTTCGTATACTAGTGTCAATTAACGGCAAATGACAAAATATCGAGAAGGTTCTAATAACAGGTAAAAGCCGAAGACCTCGTAGACTCTTTTTTCCTCGCATTTGTGTTTCAATGGTCCACCTTGATTGGTGCGAATTTAAACAGTATTTCGCAACCGTTATTTTTTTTTGTAAATCACGTATTTTGGAAATTACATTTAGATACAAATTACTGAGTAATGAAATATGCATAATATTTTTCGACCTTACCGACCTAATAATAAGAAAATATGAAGTGGTGATTTTCACAAAAGAAACAACTTAAAAAAAAAGGGAAAAAAAACCAAAATCATCTGGATCAACAAAACATAAAAAATAAAGTAAGCAATGATCTGGAATTGAAAAAAAGTACCGACCGAGCTATTATAACATTTTAACTTTTTTTTTTAAATAAATCTACTATAATTTATTGAGTCAAAAATTATCTAATAGGACTTTTTATTTTGGTTGATAAGCAATTTTCTTATGAAAAAATAAAATAATTTAAAATCAAGTTTTTCACCACACAAATTTTCCAATTATTGACGCTATGTAGACCATTCATTACCTTTTTTGTTTTACCTTTTACCGGATGGCATTCTTAAATGTCTAAAACTCAGAGAACTCCAGAGCAATTCTACTTGTAAATTACAATGTAAGCCAAAAGTATCGTAACATTTTAATGAGGAGTGTTGAATTAATGACTAAGTATAACAACAATCACTTTCAATTTCAGAGTTTCTTTTGCCGGTTTTTTCGTTTTTTGAAAAACGTAATAATTATGATGCTTTTATATTGAATACGGATGTTTGCATTTAAATTGGTCTGTCTCACTAAAATATATGTTTAGAGCAATTTTAATGGCAAAGCTTTATAGGATCTGATAGTTTTTAGGGTTCCGTACCCAAAGGTACAAAAACGGGACCCTATAACTAAGGTCTGCCACCGGGCTGTATCTCATGATCCGTGATAGTTCGACAGTTGAAATTTTCTTGGATGATGTATTTCATTTACCGCTATAGCAAAAAATACTAAAATCAGAATGAAAATTTGTAAATAAATATATATATAATAAACGACCCGAATGGCGTAGTTGGTAGTGTACCTGCCTCCTGCGCCAGAGGGTGTGGATTCGATCCCCACTACTGGAAAAGTATTGTGTGATGAACATGGTGTTTTTCTAGTGTCTGGATGTTTCTATATGTATAATATGTATTTATTTACAAAAGAAAAATATGTTTATCAGTTTTCTAGTACCCATAGTACAAGCTTTGCTTAGTTTGGGACTACAAAATATTGTATACAAATGTGTCCTAAATATTTATTATATATATATATATACAGCGTGTCGTTACCATCGCGACAATAAATGAACACACATATAGGTGATAACTTTTTAAAGTTGTATTAAACATTTAAATTCTTTAAACATTAATATTTACAGAGTTATTAAATTTTCCAAAACAAAGAATTTTAGAACACGCTTACCTATAAAAGCGTAACTTAAAGTTTATTTGTAAAGGTCACAAAGCATATGAATGGGATGAATGAATTTAAAGGAGACAAAAGGAGAGGCTTGTAATACGACGCTATGGCGCGAGTTGTATAGGATGTTACAAATTTTGTTTCTTTTTTACTTAATTAGTTTGTTTGAAAAATATTTTTTTTTTAATTATGGATTTTGTTTAACGTTAATATTTTTTTATGATTATTGGCAAGTAGCGTTAGACGTGTGTTCATTTATTGTCGCGATGGTAACGACACGCTGTATATACATATATTTATATTCCCATAGTGGGGATCGAACTCACACCCTCTGGCTCAGGAGGCATGTACGCTATCCACTACGTACCCGAGACCGTCTCGCACTTGGCCAGTTTTTTAAGAAAAAAAAAGCTATAACGGCAACTGACCTCTACGTTACGTACGAAAAGAAGGTTTAAATATTTTCCCTATTTATCTAGTACCTATAGCGCAAGCTTGCTTGGTTTGGAACTTATAAAGTTGTGTGAAAATAAATCCCGAAATATTATTATTTATTTATTTATTAACTCAAAAAACAAATCAAAAAAGTGTATAGTGTGTAAGTGTATATATTTGAATTTTTTTTGTTTTTTTAATATTTTTTGTTTTTTTAATATTTTTTTAATAAAAATATTTATACGCGACTAATGATGTATCTATAATAACAAATACAAAGAGACAGTAGTTTTTACACTACAAACCGAGAAACTTCAATCATTTAAGGACTGTTAAATCGTTTTAATGTAGTAAGTGTAAAAAACATTTTGAAATTCTTCGGTGCATATATAGTCCAACTCCCAGCTGCGAAAAACACTTACGTGATAATTTTGACAAAATAATATAAAGATAAGAGACGGAGAATATTAACGAGGAATAATGGACGCATATCCATTATGCATGTAGTATTAATACTCTGTAATTGGTTACCGATATTATACCTACGATATTATATGAAACGTAAACATATGCGCATAAATATTGTGCGTCTGTCTGTACAAAGATTTGGAATTGGTGGGAAATGTGACAGATAAAAGATATTAGTCTAACCTAGAGATGGGGAAACGGCGCACGTGGGCCGGACTAGATCATTATACAAGATTTAATCCGGCTCACGATAAACAAATTAAAGAACAATGAACATGTCTGACCATCATCTCGAGATTTACGAATTACTTCAAGTAACTTCGAGCCCAATTTAGACCCTTTAATTAATGCACAATCAAAATTTCTTTCACACCGGCAAATACACCACAAGAACGGCATTACCTTACAAATGTCATTGATCGAATTTCGACGACGGGCGATGTTAGTTAATTTTCTTACAACAAAATGCAAAACATATAAGGCTTTTTTAAAATTCGCTCCGTCCGGGCGCTCGCCTTTAATTCAATATACTCGAATATATCGCTCCCCCCACCGAATAATATCGTTATCGATAAATTAAAATTTTACAGGAAAAATAAAAGAGTGTTTTTTGACGATTATTTTAAAGATTGTCTAACTTATGAGGATGATTTATATGTCAAATGAAAGGTAATTTTTTATTAAATCATTTTAAACAAAGTTATTCATTTTGTACTTTCTGAAAATAAAGTTATTATAGAAAACATTTTTTACTATAAATGCTAGACAAAACATTTATTTGCAAAATAATATTACGATATTATTCGCGTAAAAAAAAATAGATGCCGTGAACAATAATGGCATACCACAATTTTATTCGTTAATGAAAGGTAACCAAACATAAACGTTAATAAATTAAAAGGGGGTTTTTCGCGGATGTAATGTATGTTACATATTAAAGTTTTGTTTGAATACCATTCTCTTATCGTATTATCTACAAAGTAATATCAGTTACTATAAATATGATTCTCAATAAAACGATGGCTTTTGATGAAAGAAAACCGTTTATTAAGGGAAAGGCAGGAAATGGTTGAATCATAATCATCATTGCAGCCTGTTTGAGTCCACTACTGAACTTAGGCCTCCCACAGACTGCCACGAAGCACGATCCTGAGCCACCTGCATCCATCGACTTCCCGCACACGTGTACAGATACTCTTGGGAAACTTCGGCATATCTTCTCGTCTAATATCATTCAATGTTTGAAGACCAAAGTCTTCAATCAATGTGTGTTGCCAGTGATGACCTACGGAACCGGGACGCGGTCCTTCACTTTTGGCCGTATGAGGAAGCTCAAAGTTGCTCAGCGAGCTATGGAGCGGGCTATGCCCGGTATTTCTCTGCGTGATAGAGTTCCTAACCAAGACATCCGCAGAAGCAACAAGGTAACCGACATAGCGCAGAAGATAGCAAGCTGAAATGGCGATGGGCCGGCCATATAGCTCGTAGAACCGTTAACCGTTGGGGAAGAAGGGTTCTTGAGGTGGCAGCCTCGTACTGGCCATCTCGGTGCAAGACGATCCCGCACTAGATAGAGTGACGACCTGTGCAAATGTACGGCAAGTCGATGGATGCAGGTGGTTCAGGATTGTACTTCGTGATAGTCCTATTTACAGCAGTGGACTCAAAGTCAAGTCTTGTCTGTTGAGATGAAGAAATAGCGACCTATTTCTTCATCTTTTAGTTGGCGTACTTTAGTTTTTCGTAGTAAATATTGTTTATATTTCTATTCGAATTTAGCTTTCTCAGCTTATTCATACAACGAGCACGTTCCGCATAGATCCTTTTTGGTTTGA